GAGGACGCAGAGGGTAAGGTGGGGGCAAGAGGAAAGGCGAGACACACTGAGAGGGAGACAGAGCCCCACAGAGTCTGCAACAGTAACCGAGTGAGAGGAGGGAAGGAAGGAAGGCAACAGTCGCCGGCAGCCGATGTGAACATCGGACTCCGTGCGCCCTTTGCCGCCTATGTCCGGCCTCATCGATGTTGTGTCCGCCGGCCGCTCGCCCGGATCACGATGAATGCGCAGCTGACCATGGAGGCGATCGGCGAGCTGCACGGGGTGAGCCATGAGCCTGTGCCCGCCCCTACCGACCTGCTGGGCGGCAGCCCCCACGCGCGAAGCTCCGTGGCGCACCGCGGCAGCCACCTGCCCCCCGCGCACCCGCGCTCCATGGGCATGGCGTCTCTGCTGGACGGCGGCGGCGGCGGCGATTACCACCACCACCACCGCGCCCCCGAGCACAGCCTAGCCGGCCCCCTGCACCCCACGATGACCATGGCCTGCGAGACTCCCCCAGGTATGAGCATGCCCACCACCTACACCACCTTAACCCCTCTGCAACCGCTGCCGCCCATCTCCACCGTCTCCGACAAGTTCCCGCACCATCACCACCACCACCACCACCACCACCACCCGCACCACCACCAGCGCCTGGCGGGCAACGTGAGCGGTAGCTTCACGCTCATGCGGGACGAGCGCGGGCTGGCCTCCATGAATAACCTCTATACCCCCTACCACAAGGACGTGGCTGGCATGGGCCAGAGCCTCTCGCCCCTCTCCGGCTCTGGTCTGGGCAGCATCCACAACTCCCAGCAAGGGCTCCCCCACTACGCCCACCCGGGCGCCGCCATGCCCACCGACAAGATGCTCACCCCTAACGGCTTCGAAGCCCACCACCCCGCCATGCTCAGCCGTCACGGGGAGCAGCACCTCACGCCCACCTCGGCCGGCATGGTGCCCATCAACGGCCTTCCTCCGCACCACCCCCACGCCCACCTGAACGCCCAGGGCCATGGACAGCTCCTGAGCACAGCCCGGGAGCCCAACCCTTCCGTGACCGGTGCGCAGGTCAGCAGTGGAAGTAATTCAGGGCAGATGGAAGAGATCAATACCAAAGAGGTGGCGCAGCGTATCACCACCGAGCTCAAGCGCTACAGCATCCCACAGGCCATCTTCGCGCAGAGGGTGCTCTGCCGCTCCCAAGGCACCCTCTCGGACCTGCTGCGCAACCCCAAACCTTGGAGCAAACTCAAGTCCGGCCGGGAGACCTTCCGGAGGATGTGGAAGTGGCTGCAGGAGCCGGAGTTCCAGCGCATGTCTGCGCTCCGCTTAGCAGGTGAGTAGGTTAAGGAGCTGGGCGCGCGGTCGTGTAACGGATAGGGAAGCCAAGGGACCGAAGGAGAAAGAGGGCTGGGACCAATTCACCCGTCCTCCTTTCCCCCAAGAGAGGGGCCCTTGGGCCTGGAAGAGCCAGCGCACGGCTCCAGGCAGCAGACCGACTGACTCCTCCAGGACTTGGTGCGTTGGGCTGTAGAAGGCTCGGGTAGCTAAGTGGCGCGGCCTCGGCGACTGCGGGGGCGCATTTGTGCTTGGAGACAGCGCTAGAAGTTCGCACAGCCCAAGGCGGAGAAAAATCCTCCCACCTTGCTGGCCACGATCTGTACTTCTCTTCTCGGTTGGGCACTAGGGGTTTGAGGAGAGATGGCAACGCGTGAGTGAAACTGCGCGCAGGTGCTGCCAGCCAGTACCCTTGGCACGCGGGCGCCGGGCTGGAGCTGCCTGCTAATGTTTGGCTGAACTCTGTGCGGAGACCCGCTCCCGCATTCAGTCTGTTAGCTCGGGGCGGGACGCGGGGAAGCGCAGAGTTCGAGCAAAAGGTTCTAAAGCCGCGGGGCGGTGGGTGTATGGCGTGGATGCTGTGTAAGACAGCACGCACTCTGTGCTTGTAACCGGCAGGAGAGGAAGGCAGACTGTTCCGAGCTCCGGGTGAGGGCGACTGAACAACAAGGAAGCTTCCAGCCGAGTCCAGGGACAGCTTTCGCTGCCAAGTCGATTAGGACTTCGCATTTTGTTTTATTCCTTTACATGATTTTTCCTCTGAATCCCCATGGGTGCGGTAGAATGCGGAAAAGACCCCCAAGTCTGTGAGCAGAGGTCTTTCGGGCCCGAAATCCCGAGGCCCGCGCGTTTCCTAATTGAGCGAGGTCTTGGCGAAGCTGCACAGGCACAGAGCCTAGCTCCCTCAGCCTCTCTAGGCTAAGGTACGGGCCAGGCTCTGGCCCGCTGACTAGCAGAGGGGACAGCTGAGCCCCGGAGATTCGGCTCCCTGCGAGGGCAGAGGACAGACACGAGGGGAGGTAGAACCAGGGTCAGCCGAGGGTGGGTTCGTTTTGATGAGACCCGGGCTGGATCCATTCTCCCAACCCCCAGTCTCAGCCTGGCGCCCTGGCCTGAGTCCTGGCAAAGAGAAAGGTAAAAGCCAGTATGAGGGTTTGTTAATTAACTGATCGTTCTCCATTAATTCGTCCCTGGAGAACGAGAGACAGTCAATCCGCTCAAAGCCGGGGGCACTGAGCAGTTTCACAGTCTAAAATCAAAGCAAGAGGCCACAACCCCCTCCCCCACCTCGTGCCGGCCAATGAGAAGCTAGAGGGAGGCAGGTGCTGGCATGCCCGGGAGCCAGCAACTCGAGCCGGATGCGACCCAAAGCTCCTCCGGTCTGGGCGCTCGATGCTTCCCAGCCCGAGCCAGGGCTTTCCAGCCCAGCCCCGCGCTCCTTCGCTCCAAGCACAGACCTACGCAGGGAAGCCTGGGGAGGGGGCAAGAAGGGAGAGGTTGACCGGGTGCCCTCTGAACTCCCACGATTCCACTCTCTAGGCCTGTGTGCAGCCACCATATCGCCCATTCCCTCCCCCCTTGGGCTAACGGAGACCCGAGGGCACCCAGAGTTCCAGAGGGGTTGAGTGAAATGGCTATTCCTGTCCATGACTATTCCGCCTCTGCTGGCGCCCAAGGTAATGAGTGCCTTTTCACACGCCTATTCCAGCCTTGAGCCCGGCTTCAGGACTTTTTTACCCAGGCAGTGCCCGGACAGGCCGGCGACGGGGTTTGGAAATGGACAGATGCCCTCAGGGAAGCCTGTACTCCACACGCCACCCCGTAAAAGCGCTTGCTTGGGACCAAAATGACCTTTCTCCTCGCCACTGCCTCCTGTACCCTATGGAAGGAAAGACTGACAGGTTCTGTTCAGAGACAATCCCCATGCCCTGGAAACCCCGCCTAGCGCCCTGCCCTGCGCGATTGTGCTGTTGAGGGGGACCCGGAATACTGCGACCCGCACACGGGCGGGCATTGGGAGACACAGGCAGCGGGCTGGCCGAGGTTCACGGAACCCAGGAGGCTACAGGCGCCTGCCTGGCACCCAGCAGCCCGTGGTGAGTCACACTTGCCCGAGGCACGTGGCCTTTTCCTCGAGAAAAAAAAAAGAGGCAAGAAAAATCGGGGACTCTTTGGTAGAACACATGTTTGGCAGCTAATCCCAAACGGACTCCGGACGCCGCATCCTAACACCCAAATGGAGCCTTGTCTCTTTCATTTTCCTTTCTTTGACTTAATTAAAGGAGTGTGGACCAAACCTGTAGCAATCTCATTACACTGTAAGAGCCACGATCTATTTTTAAGTCACTGAACAAACCATCCTGTTAACAATGTTGTCACTTAGAAAAATAAGTAAGAGTGAGGCCGTTTCCTGAACCCTTCAAGTGATCTCTACTGGTCTTTGCAGGAGACTTAAAACCGATTGCAGGAGACATTGCCACCACTTAACCACCGCCACTTTCCAGGCACAAAGATGCTCCTTGCAAATTTGCTCGCTGTTGCACTCAAAGACCCGTCAACCTAGTCCCTACCCCATGAGAGGCCGGGGCCCACCCAGGTCGGTTCTGTCACTCGGTGGCGGGCGAGTGGCTTCTCCATGCGCCTCCCTGTACCCAGGTTCCGCATAGCCTGTTGTGGAGAGTCAAGCCCTCCACACGTGGCAGCGTGTTTGGGGAGGCGCCTTCTCTTAACGAAATTACATCGGTTGGTGGAAGACGGGAGACAGAAGGAAATTCTAACCAAATTAGCTAACTTTAAAAAAACAATATGTGTTTCCTCAGTGTAATACTTGCTTCTCCCCCATTAAAGTGCGGCGCAACCAGGCTCCTGCCGGTATCTCGTCCCAGGTGGGTTGGGCGGGATGGGCTATGCGGATGGGTAGTAGCCCCGCCTCTGACGTGGGCGCCTATTAAGATGCCAGGAGATTAGTTTCCAATTAAAGATTCCAATTCCAGAAGGCGTCCGCCACAGTAGGGGAGCTGCCAGTGCAGGAAGAGGCTACAACACGTACCCACCACCTGGTGCTGCACCGTGGACCCTGGGCAGAGGTGGGTGCCGGGCCACTCGGATCCTTTGGTAACTGGAGGCACAGAAATTTACAAATGGTGCCGCGAAGCTGGCCGAGTCTCCTGCACCCAGGACTGCGCCCCCTTCCAGTCCGGGATTTGCTCCAAAACTACTTGGAGAAAGACCTGAGCCAGGAAGCGGGGGAGGGGCGGGGAGCTCAGAGCAGGAGGTGGCCATGAGAAAGTCTCGCCCCAGCCAACCTGGGCTGTGTTTGCCATAAGTGGCCTTGTGCCTTGGTTGATTGATAACTGCCCCCCCCACCCCGCGCGCAAGTTCATTTGCTTTTTGTTAATATTTATCCCGGAGAGTGACATTTCATCGTCCCCTCGCTTCCCGGGGCCACAGGAGCCAAGCAGAAGGAGTGCAATGCTGGGCTCTGGGAACTCCACTTTCCCACTCCTCGAAGACTCCCAGGCCGGGAGAAAAGCCAGAACTTGGAGTGTGGGACGCGAGAACTGGAAGGGTGCCTAGGCTCTAGAGTAAGAGAAGACAAGAGGAGTGGTTTCCCTCACACCCGGTTTCCCTCGGGCCCAGCGTCGCGGCCCCGCGGGTTTCGCGCAGTGCAGCTGCTCCCAGCCCGCTGGCTGCAGCGCGAACAAAGGGCCAGCGGGGGCAGCGTATCGCGGCAGCCTGGAAGCCCGTGGGGAGTGTCTCCTCTGAAGACCTGCGGAGGCCTCCTCCCGGTGTGGCTGGGGAACCGGCCAGTCGTCAGGCAGAGCATCCCCCAAGGCCTAATGGTGGCCGTGCGCACAGAGGGAATTGGCTGGGACGACCCCCCTACCCCCCCACCCACCCACCCCACACACACACCAGCCGAGCAGGAAACCAAAAGGCCTCCCTCTTGGGGACAATCATCAGAAAGCTCTGCATGGGCCTTTCTCACAGCCCATGTCCGACCCTTCAAGTGGATGAAACAATAGTGCCGTCTCCACTAGGGAACACAAACCTCAGTGAGGAAAGAAAGGACTGCGTGAGGTTAAGACTGTAAATTGGTTTGACTAGGGTGAGGGGGGACCTGCTTCTGGTTCTTGAGGAGGCCCGACAGTTTTGTGTGGCTACCCAGTTGTCAGCGCATTGAGGAGGGCCTCCTGAGACATATAAACCCCCTGGCCTCTTCGGAGGGGTGCTGGCTGTCCCGCCAGAGGGTGCAGCTGAGAGCGCCGTGGGAGCACGGAGGACCATGGAGGGCTGCGAAAGCGACCCACCCAGCCTAGGGCTGCTGTGGTCACTGTTTTGCAATTGGCACTTGAGATGGACTGTGCCAACAATAGCATGTTAGTGTTATAGCAGCACAGCGACTCAGGCTGGGATGCAACTTTCTTTATCTTAAAGCTTCAAGCCCTTAGGGCACAGTGGGGAGCTGGACTCCTGCTCTCCATTTGGGCTCACCTTCTCCCCCGGTAGCCGGCAGGACTGTGCTGCGGTATCTGTGCCGCCCCCTGTGGGCCTCCAGGGCTGCACGCCCAGCAAGCCTCGGTGGTTCAACTCCCTGCGGAAAGAGATGCATGCTGAGGCTTTGTTTTTAAAATATCTTTGTCCTGGTGATTTCGAAACGATATCTACTTTTTGATAGGAAGAAGGTGTGGCAGAGGAAGAAAAGGATACTTAATGGATCTATCTTGGTCCCAAACAATGCCTAGGAATTACCCCAGTGATGAGACAAAAGCGCCATACCCCCCCCCCCCCACCC